TCGTCATCGCCATCGTATCGTCATCGTCGTCATCATCTACAGCAGCAACATCATAATCATCGTCATGATCACTATCATAATCAGAAACCTCATCACCATCATCATCACCATCATCATCATCATCATCATCATCATAATCATCATCACCAGCATCATCATCACAGTCGTCGTCGCCGTCGAGATCGTCGTCGTCGTCGTCGTCGTCGTCAGTCGTCGTCATCGTGGTCGTGGTCGTGGTCGTGGTCGTCCTTATCGCCGTCGTCGTCATCACCCACATCATCCTCATAATCCTCATCATACTCATCACGGCTCCCCCAGGGCTAGAGACAAGAGGTGTCAGACGTGACGGCCCCCAGGTGCCCCCTCGAGCAGTCGCCACCCAGCAAACTGGGCTGGCCCGGTGGTGGGACTTGCTGCAGGCAGCGGGATACCTGGATGCTCTGGGCAGCGGCGTGCACGTCGAGCTGGTCTGGCACACGGCTGGCGCCGTCCAAGAAAACCGGCCCTCGTGCCCTGGACTGCCGCGCAGCCCGGCCACCGCGTCCCACCAGCCAGCACGAGCGCCGCCGCTGCTGCCAGCGGCGCTGGCGCCGCCGAGGGCCCGCGGCGGCGCTGGCTGCTCATGGCCACCGGCACTCTGCCGCGCTGCTCCTAACATCCAACGTGTTGAAACACATGACGGATTTTAGTTGGTCGTTTTCGGCCTGCGGGGGGCCCCCGCAAGGTCCCGGGACCGTCAAACAATGGCTCGCGACGGAACGCCGGTCTGTCGGGAAGGGTGGGGATTTCCAGGGACCGCGTATCGAAGAAAACAAGACATTGGATGTCTAGAATCGTTTCAAAGGGCCACTGTGGCCGGAGCCAGAATGAGGACAAGTCAAACCATTGCTCCCCCAGGGGACACCTTGGCCCCGCTGTCCGACCTACCCCCGCCAACGGGGACGAGTGTCGTCGCCTCCAGGCTTCGCAGCACCCATCCCCACCCAGAGGGGATACGCTGGAAAGGCCAACTTACCCTGTCACGGCCCTGGTCTGGGATGGCTCACACGACGACGAAATATTACAACGGGTAGAGGGTTGAGGGCGAGACACCGAGGGACAGAGTTTTGTATTCGGGGGCGCACTGGCCCAGGCCAGCACAAACCTGGGTCTGCAAAACACCTGTCGCGAAACCACGCTGGCCGCTTGGTCACGTCCAAACCCAGGTCAGCAGATGGCGGGAAAAACATCGGCCCCACGTGGCTCCCAAACCCCGGTCAGCCAGAGGGGACTGACTGACCCCCGTTAGCGCTAACCCCTGTTGTAGAACTGGCCAGGCCTCCTGAAGCTGCGCCCTCGGCGCGACGGCTGGATCCGCGTCGAAACTCTGGCCGGAACACACACTGGGACGGTCTAAGAGGCCGGGCCACGGGCCGGCCACCAGGGTGGAGCCTCCAGGGAACGAGAATAGAGGGCGGAAAAACCAACATCATAATAAGCAAGGGGTGCCCCGGCCCCTTCAGGGGAGAGAGAGGAGGAGAGGAGGGAGCAGGAGGGAAAAGGGGCAAGGAGGAGGAGGACGACGAAAGCGAAACGTCGTCGGTCCGCGCACACACACGCACACACATATATCTAACTGTATATATATACACATGTGTATGTATATATATATATACAGTACCAGAGTGAGGGGGCCGAACGGTCATTCATTGCCCCTGGGTGCGTGGCTGAAGTGGGGATCAGTGGGGAAGATTCTGCTTGTTGCGTTGTTGCGTTGTCATTGTTTGTTGTCGTCGTCCCGCCCGCGACCCATCCAGCGACCCACCCCGCGACCACCCACACCCGCGACCCACCCGCGACCCACCCCGCGACCCACCCCGCGACCCCCCCCCGCGACCCCCCCGCGACCAGCCCCGCGACCCACCCGCGACGACCCCCCGCGACCCACCCGCGACCCACTTTCAACCCACCCACGACCCCTGCGACCCTCCCCGCGACCCATCCGCAACCCACCCGCCACCCACCGCGACCCACCCCGCCGCCCACCGCGCGACCCAACCTGCGACCCACCCACGACCCACCCGCGACCCATCCGCGACCCAACAGCGACCCACCTGCAACCCACCGGCGACCCGCGCGACCCATTTGCGACCCATCCGCGACCTACCCATAGTGGCTTAACGGAAAAATCGGCGCCTGCGGCGGACTCGTTGTATCATGTGTGAGACTTTGGCGCCTGCGGCGGGCTTCTCCAGAGTCTCGAGCACTGCAGACGTCCCCACCGCCCCCTCACTCTTATCCGCATCTGCGGGGTGCTACGGTACTTTATACATTTGTACTAGATGCTAATGATTGGAGTGTGCGCGCCCTCTTCAGAGCACTACAAGCCCGACCCATACTGCACAGACCAATTCCTCCCAACTGTATAAAACCCTTGCCTTCCGTACCCCCGCCGATGCAGTTGACCAATAAGAGAAGTGCGCTGGAATCCTCAAGCACCCCTACAAGCGAAGCCCTTTGGCAAACACATCTGAGAAATACATCCAACAGGCAAGACTGATTATGGCAGGGGTGTCTGTTCCTCCCTTGAGCGAAAAGGAAAAAGGAAAGGGGAGGCGGAGGACAGGGCGGGGCGCCAAACGTAGAGCACCAAAACCGTTCCCGCCACTTCCTCCCCCCATCCACCAATATTTTCCCTCCTGGAGCCTCGCCGCCCTAGGAACGCTGCATGCGACCATATCACCGGGGGGGGGGTCAATTAGGATAGGGTGTCCAACCACACCTTTCAGTATCCACTGGAATAGCGTTGCTGTGAGTCTCTGATGGTGGCGTGGGAAAGCAGCGAGCTTGAAGGGCGGACGGGAGAAGGGTGGCGAAATGGCCTGAGGGAGGAAAAAGCGGCGGGATCCGTCGCTCGAGCACTCGGGCCGAGCTCTGGGCCACTTCTCAACGACCAGAGAGCGGCACAGCCGCCAGAACCATCGGGTAACGGCCCTGCCGTGGCCTCTGCAGCCGGGGCAGATCACGCCAGCTGGCGCCCTGGCCCCCCCTCCACCAGCCTGCCCACGGGGGGCGGGGGCAGGGGGAGACAGGCCTTGCACTTCTGGTCGCAGCGGGCGAATTGCTTCGCGCACGACAAGTCGGAGACTCAGGACCCCCGTCGTCGACGGCACCGCGGGGGGACAAACTGATGACAGCGACAGGGTCCCCACGAGGGATGCTCTCCGAGGCTCAACAATCACATGGCTACCGCAAAGAGCTGACGGGCTTCGCTGGCCACGGCGAGACGCGGCCGCGAGGAGATTCTTCGGTTTCAGGAGAGAGTCCCGACGTGGGTTTCCAGGACAGTCTGGGTCCCGCCTGAACCGAGTGGTCCTGATTTCGTCGTCTTGACTCTAGGCTCCCCGCGGGGGGGACTCATCCTAGGCTCAAATCCGCAGAACGGTGCTCAGAGCGAGACGCGACTCCGGACGAGACGCCGCAGCGCGCCGCCCGTAGCAGAAGCGCCCTCGCTCGAAGCCAGGGAGGCGGAGGAGGAAGGGAAGGCCAGCAGCTGAAGGGCAGGCGAAGGGTGCAAGGGGCACGGCTCAGCTGCTCAGCTGCTCCGGCGGCGTACTCACAGGCCGCCGCCGCGCTCTTCCAACCGGCGCGCGCCCAAGGGCGCATGGAAGCTGATCAAAGAAGGGAGGGCTGAGGGAGAGCTGGGAAGGGGAAGAGCCTGCTGCTCAACTGGCTCCACCTGCTACGTCACAGACAGAAAGGGAAGGGGAAAGGGGGGAGGAAGGCATGGAGGGACAGGGTAAGGAAACGAGACGCGCCCGCAGTGTCGCGAGAGCGCCAGTCTGGTCGGACGAAGAAGGGTGAAGTTCGTCAAAGGCGGGTTCGCGAATCCGCTCGCGTAGCGCCTAGCTGGTTTTCCTGCCGCACTCCGGCGACTCCCGCTTGCGCGTTCGCCATCGTCTGCTTGCTTCTCCTTCCCCGTCTTCCTCTCGTTTGGACGCCCGGTCACGAAGTGAGTGATCTCAACCACCGCGCGGAATCTCCAGCCCTGGACGGAGATATATCCGCGGCCGGGTCCTCCTCAAACGCCTGTCGACCCCCTACCTTCCGTGGTTTGAACTCTGCGCCGCGGCCAATTCTGGGAGCACGATACAGTGCGACCAGTACGGCCCAGTGGCTCTGATGCCTGGAGCCATTGATGCCTACCCTGCGCACCGTACTTCCAATGCTTAGGCATCGCCTGTTCGATGCCTAGGCATGGCATCTGCTACGCCCAGCTACGTCCATGGACGCATCCCTCGATGCATGCGTGGGCAAGCCCAGGCGGATGCCTAGGCATCAGCAGCGGCATGCCCAGGAATCCACATGGCCATGCCTGGGCATGCTACGATGATGCGTAGGCATCTGGGCTCGGGGTTCAAGGCGACGGCTGGGAGCCGAGCGAGCGGGCCGACCCAGAATGCATCCTCATCCGAATCATGCCTGGGATTCGCCGACGCGAACCCTGGATCGGACTCAACCTTGAACGCACGCGCCTGCGTCGCCGCCGCGTCGAAGCGGCACGAGCCTGCCTGCTGCACACGACCACGGCCAGGCTGCGGGATCATCGACCCCTAAGGATGGAAAAACACGATTGCCCATGTTGGAAATGTATTGCAACTGTCTGTCCGCTATGTCGAAAATTCTGAGCCAGTTCTACATCGCAGAGCGGAGAAGGTTGGGAAAGGGCTTTCCGTTCATTGGCAAAAACGTTGCCCGATGTATGGCCGCCGCGATCGCTCCGGCGACCTCCCAAACCGACCCGGAAATGTGGTTCGGGGTCGAATACCACGCAACTTTGCCATCGCTCGGACATCCATGTTCCGTGCATCATTCGGTTTCGTGCGCCTTCCTCTCGCAAGATGATGAAACATGCAAGCGTCCGAGCGACGCTAAGCAGCGATGATGAGGGGCCCAGGATCGGCGCAAAAACGCTGGCGTCTGTCCGAGACGATCTTCCCAGCGGCCACGGGCGCGCCCGCCTGCAGGCTGTGCCAGGCGAGCTGCATGTCGCTCGTCGACTGGGCGTTGGCCTCCTCTGCTACCTCCCCGCCGGGGAAACCACGCAACGCGAGCAAGCCTCGGGTCGGAACATCGCAGTCGGACCTGCAACAACTTAGACGGAACTGACACAACGATGATATCGGAACGATATATATATATATATGACACGTATGAGAACTTGCTGGTTTGAAAAATGTATTGGGCGCCGCTGCCGTTCCGAAGCGCTCCAGAACGCTCTGCGAGTATTCTGAAAACGCTCTGGGCAATCCATCGTTGTCTTAGGTCTGCCTGAAGAGAAAACACATTGGAAGAAGCCTGAATCGAGCGCGGCAGATCGGACGTGGAAGGTCCTGTAATCCCACCAGCCCTTTGGGCGACAGGCGGTCTAAGGAGGGTCTCTTTCCTTTTCCACAACCCCTCTTCCCATCGGGGAGGGGAACCCTCCCCCTCCCCTCCCTGAGGTTTTTTTGGGGAGGGGGACCGATGTGTCAGAGAGTCCTTTCTCGGCCACCCGGAGGGCCACATTTTGACACCCCTCACGAGGATCGTGGCCCCCGAGGGAGGGAGCTACATTTAGAACCCCCCCTCTGTTGACCGACCGCCTCCAAGATGGCCCCAAGAGGCGCTTCAGGGCTCCCAAGAGGCCCCAAGAGGGCTCCAAGAGCGCCCCAAGAGGCCCCCAGAGGGCCCCAAGAGGCACCCGAGAGGCTCCCAAGAGGCCCCCGAGCGGCCTCCAAAGATGACCTCCAAGATGGCTCAGATAGCCCAAGCTGGCTCAAGATGGCTCCCAAAACGCTCCAAGCGGCCCCAAAACCGCTTCAAGACGGCTCGAGACGGCCACGGAGCCTCCCACGCCTCCCTCGCTGTTCGACTATGCTTGTCTCTTCCTCTCTCCCCCTGTCAACTCTCACGGACATCGTTTCTGGAACGGCTGGTGGGGATATTTTTGGTCAACAGGCTCGCGAGGCGGGTCGAAAGCCGTCCAAGACTGGTGGGGATACTTTTTGGTTAGCGGCTCCAAGGCGACCGCCAGGGAGCGGGAGCGACGTCCGGGGCGGCGGAACGGTGCGAACTGGTGGGGATACGCGAAGCGTCAATAATCTAAACACAAACACTATTATGTAGCCCCTTCCTGTCGCCACTTGTCGCCTGCATTCGATAGCAAGGGCCCTTCCAGCCAAGAAGCCGGCATCAAGCATCGAAGCCGCTGCGAGGGCCAGACGAAGACCGCACACGCAGCCCAAGAACTGCCCTGTTTCGTTGGCGTGCTGGAACGAAGCGTAAAACATCCAGGCTGCCTCCAGCGAGGCAAAAGGCAAGGTCAGCGACAGACAAACAGGACGAGCGGTCCGAAAACCAACCACCGAGCCCGTGTCCTCGGTCCCTGGGTGGAGCGAGGGTTCCCGTCCCTGGACGGCGCGAGGACACCCCTGGGCAGACAGTGCAAAAGTCGAAGACCCACACGCACGGGCTGTGGAAGACGAGCGCTAGAGTGCAAAATCGCCCATCTTCATGGCCCGACCAAAAGCAAGCGAGGCAGATATGTTCCTTACCGCCTGGAGCGAACTCATCATACCACAACCAAGCCCCGATGATGCTTGTCTGGTGATGGACTCCCGGGTTCATGTTGCAACACCCTTGGGCTCTGATTTGAGTCCGAGTAGGTCTTGTTGGAATCCTATTCGGATCTTGGTGGGATCCCGAACTCTGACTTCCAGGGGGCGAAAAGCAATATAGTGCCGCTGGATGGGGGGTCCCAATTGTTCTCATGGTTGTTACCAATTCGACCAACATATCCGACATCGCGGCGTTTCACGATACGGACCGCAGAACTCTCGACTCGATTCCCAAGGGTGCGTTTCTTTACGTTCGTCGATGACGAGCGTCATGGGGTGGGGGGGGCGGGGGGGGGGTATGACGTAACGCCCCCCCCCGCCGTGTGGCTCCGGCACCACAGCCGCGCCCGCGCGCACGAAGCGACGAGCGACAAGCGACGACGACGACGACGCGAGCAGCATGTAAGTGAGGATCTGCCCCACTGCGCCTGTGTACACCACAACGCTCGCGTCCACCACAGCGCGCGTGTACACCACAGCGCCTGCGTACACAGCAACAACCGTATGCAACGCAGCGCCTGTGTACACCGCAGCAACCATGTGCAACACAGCGCCTGTGTACACCACAGTGCTTGCGTGCACCGCTGCGCCTGTGTACGCCACAGCGCCTGTCTGCACCACAGCATCCGCGTGCAACGCAGAGCTATTGTACACCACAGTGCCTGCGTGCAAAGGACAAGTAGAAGAAGCCTGTGCGTGAAGATCTGCTGCGGAAACGCCACGCCAAGAACGTGTTAATAATCGAATGCGACGTTTTTCTCTCGTCCCTTCTCCTCCACTTCCACGTCCTCTTCCTCCTCCTCCTCCTCCTGCTCCCCTTCCTCCTCCTCCTCCTCCTCCTTACCCCCTGTCGTGCGGGTTGGCGCTACAGCGCTCGTGCGCATCGAATGGTCGATTGAATCGGTCCACTTGGTTCTCGGACGGCCAATTTGGCTGGAGACTCCTGGACGCAGATGGGAGGAGTTATGGTGACGCGGGCGAACTCGGAAGGACTCGTAGATTTCCCTGGTGCTCCTTTGTCCATCAGGCTTATTTTCGATCGTTTTCTGTGGAATCCACAAGCGCTCCATTTTGTCATAACAATTCCTTTTAACAGTCTACATACAACAGTGGTGCTGTGTTGCGCACGGTTGCTGCGGTGCACACGAGCGCCGTGGTGTACACAGGCACTGCAATGCACGCAGGCATTGTGGTGTACACTGGTGCTGTGTTGCACACGGCTGATGTGGTATACGTAGGCGCTGCGGTGTACACAAAAGCTGTTGTGCCCGCGCGCACGGTGGCACAAACTGACGCTGTGTTGCACGCGGCTGCTGTGGTGTACATAGGCGGTGTGGTGTACACAGGCGCTGTGGTGCACGCAGGCACTGAGGTGTACAACGGCGTTGTGGTGCAGATCGCCACCTACATGCTGGTGCCACCCGTCCTCCGTCATTCCTGGGCATTCCCAGGCGCCGCCGGCGCAAAGCGTGACGTCATCAACCCCCTCCACCCACCCAGATGATTGCCGTCATCGGCCCGGAAAAAAAAAACAGGCTCCAGCCGCGTCTGCGCGCACGACGACGATCAGCGACGAGCGACGAGCGACGAGCTACGACGACGACGACGACCAGACTTCTATGCGGAATCCTACGCGGACACCTACGCGGATCCCAATGCGCACTGCGGCAGTGCCCGGAGCGCACTGGGGGGGGGGGAGCGTTACGTCATGGGGGGGGGGGGAACGGGGACCATGACGCCCGTCATGCCCCAAGCAAGAAAGAAACGGGTTCCAAGGAGAGCCGGTGTATCCGACGCGGGAATTTCTTTGATGGCCCCCAGGCCAGACCTGGCCCGCGGACACCGAAATGGCAGCAGACGACCGTAGTGACATTTTCTGCGAATGCGACGCCTGCCCGAGATGACTGGGCAAGCAAGGCGAGACCAGCGAAGGGCCCAGATGTCCCGGGATGTCTCCAGAGGGCACGGGCAACCTTGGGCACAAGAGTGGGGGAAACTGCACCGCGGAGACGCTGCGTTACCGCTTGGAGACGCTGTGCACACAGCGAATCAAGCACTTTGCAACAGGGAGACAATGCATTTGCAACATGGAAGCGTTGCGCCGTGGCGAAGCAACGTTGTGACGCGGCAGTGGCCCCCCAGCCATGTGGCCCCAGTACACCCGCGGAGTCGCTGAAGGTCTCCGAAGGGCGTTCGGGGCGCTGGGCGTTGTTGAGCACTTGAGATCACAAAGTGTGTTTCTGTCTTCCTCCCCCCTCTCTCGGTACGCATGTATCTCTCACTCACTTGAACTAAAAGATATGTTTATGTTGTCTCAGCCAAGCGAAAGAGACAAGCCAGCGCGGGTGGCTTCTTGCTTGGGCATTGGGTAGCTAATGTATACTGGCCCCACAGCCCTGACAAGGCCCCTAGAGCCCAGAGCCCGTTCCCATCAAAACCCAGTTTCTAATTGCTGACTGCCTTCTCGGTTGACTTTCGTTTCGTCTGTTGTCGTTTCGTCCTCTTCCGATTCGTCCCTTCTCGTTCAGTCCTCTTCGTTTCGTTCTCGAAGCCCGGACGAACCGAAACTGGACGAATCGAAGCGGATGGAATGGAATTCGGAAGAAATGAAACCGAATCACCTTTCCCCCCCTCCCTCTTCTGGCCCTCCGCGACCCCACAGATGCCTCGGGGATGATCGCCCCAGTGGTCCAGCCGAACAGCCGCCGAGCTTCGACGAGATCGGCGAACAATGAGTCGCCCAGGTAGATGATCTTGGAGCCTCCGCTTCCAGCGCGGCGCGAGCCACAAGGAGGAGGATGAGAGGACGGTCACGATTCAAATTCAGATTAAGAAACCCATGGAGACCAGGTCAAGCATGGGCATACGACAATACGCATCACATCTGAGGTAAACAACCTCCGCTCTGGGGGGGGAAAACCAAGAGCCAGACGGGACAAAACTTGCCGCCCAGCTTTAGGAGAACGAAGGACGGGAGGAGGCAGAGACGGAGGCGGATGAGGGCGATGGGCGGGAGCGCGCTAACCAGGGGAAAGAAAAAAAGGGGCATCGACATGGAATCGGCGAGACATCCTCCGCGCGGACTTCTTGGATCGGCGCTAGGCCCCCCTCGCGCGGAGCGCGCTGCCAAGGGGGCCCAGCGCAGCTCCAAGAAATCCGCACGGAAATCCGACAGTCTATGCCGTTGACTCTGTTTTGGTTCTAACGGCCACTTAGCACAAGGCAATTTAGTTTCGGGGCCCGGGGCGGCAATCAAAATCCCAAAAATATGCGTGGTGATCGTAATTCTGAGCCGATCTAGCTTAGGCCAAGTGCACCGCTACTGTGAGGCCCGAGCTACCCGTAACAATGACTGCCCGTGCACTGCGGGGCCACGCAATTCCCAACTGCCCGCCCAGAACCACCTTCTCAGCCCCCTGAGGGTAACGGTCCGGATCGCTGGAAGACAAATTGGGAATGGACACGTCCTTCCCCCTCACGCTCCTGCGGGTTCTGATGGACACGATACATTGCATCGCATTCTGCACACGAGCTGCTGTGAAGGGATGAGACACCTCTTGGGGCCCTCCAAGACAGCCTGGGATGGCCCCAAGAAAATCCCAAGAGGGCCACAAGATGGCTCCAAAACGGTCGAAGGGTGGCCAAGATGGCCCCAGGAGGGCCCCAAGAGGGCCACCGACGGATGCTACAACGGGCCCCACTGTTGCAGCATCCGTCGGGGGCCCTCTTTGGGGCATATCTGGGGCCCTTCTGGCTCCCATTGGGGCATTCTTGGAACCATCTTGAGCCCTCTTGGGGCCTTCTTGGGGCCCTCCCAGGCCGTCTTGGAAAGTACCAAGAAGGCCCTCGACGGATGCTACAACGGACCCCCCTGTTGTAGCATCCGTCCAAGGCCCTTTTGGGGCCCTCCGGGGACCCTTTTGCCCCCCTTTTGGGACCGTTTTGGAGCCATCTTGGGGCCCTCTTGGGCCGGGGCCCTCCCACGCTGTCTTGGAGGCCCCTTAAAAGCCCCCCGACGGATGCTACAACGGACCCCCTCTGTTGTAGCATAGCTCGGGATGGAAAATCGACGGGAAGCGGCCCATGGACTGGGCCTCGGCGGCGGGAAGGACGGGCAACCGATGCCTCGCGAAAACGGGCCACGTCCAGACCAGCACTGAGCGGCGGGGGCGCGGTGCACGTCGGGTGCGGGCGTCACCGTTTGCTCTGTGCACCCCGCCCCGCTGGCTAAGTGCACATCTGTACGTGCTCCGTTTCGCGCGGATGTCACAGGCGCAACCAGCACGTACAGATGTACACTTAACGGCCGGCGAAGTGTACATCTGTACGCGGTGGATGCTTCGGACGGGGCGAGCACGTACAGAACGGCACTTAGCGACAGGGGCGGGGTACAGGTCGGGTGCAACATCGCAGCCCTTGGCTGAGTCAGGGGGACGGGGGCCACTGAAATTTCTCACTGGCAGCGCCAGGGGGAACCAGTAAACTACGTACAAGACGAGAGACGCAGACTTCGCCCCGCAATCGACCTGAGGTCCACTAGGCCCAGAGCGCCCCACTACATCCCACGATGCGCCCCACGATGCGCCCCTCGGTCGCCCCTCGGGCGCGGAAGAAAAGATAGACCAGAGAAGACCCACACCAATTGTTCGAGCGAAGAGTGTAAAGACATCGCAATGGCGCGGGGGTGTCCAATTCGACCCAAAATCCAGGGCAGGCAAATTTTTGGTTTGCATTGGATACCGTCGAACCGACGACGACGATGATTACAACGACAACCGCAACGATGACGACGTGGGGGGTCCGATTTGAAATGACAAGGGAACTCCTGGCTGAAGTTGAGAAAAAAGGGTCGCCAGCGCATGTGGGACATTGTCGAGTCAGCCTGCCTATTGCGGACATGGCTTGCATCGCGGATCCAGCATAGCTCCAACAGTATTTGCTTGCACACCTCTGTGTATTGGTGGCGCGCCTTATTTCAATTGTAACCGTCGCCCCCGAAGCCCCTCTGCGCTCTTCGCCTCTTCCTGCTCCCTCCATGACGTTCGCCATCTTCGTTCGCCTGTTCCTGCTCCCTCCGCTGCTCGGCCCTGCCCCTCCCCCTTCCCCCCTCCATTGTCCACCCCCTAACTCCCCGCGCGCCTCCCCATTGCCCCTCGCGCGTTGCGCTGCGCCGGCCGCCCCCCTCCCCCGCAGCCGCCAGGCTCGCCCCGCGCTCCTCCTCTTCCATTCGCGAAGCAGCGGCCTTGACTCCAGACCGACTTTGGTTAGCGGCATCGAGGCCCTAGCAAACACGACAAGCGCGATCGCCCGCCTCGAATGGCAGGTGAAAGAAAACAATCAGCGACAGCCCTGATTCGATTTTTACGTGTTGGGGATCCGCGCAGAAAGCTAATGCACCTGCCCAAAACGTATGCCGATGCCTGTCCGATGATTATTATTCGAAATTGGACGTCAGTGTTCCATCCTTGAGCCTATCCTCCCCCCTCTCGCTGCCCCTGAGCTAGCAAGAAATGAACGGCTTGGGGTCTCTTCCTGCCCCGCCCAATGGGGTCTCGGCAGAACCGTCGGCCACAAGGAAAGCCTCCCTTCCGGAGGTGGGAGGCAAGGGTTTTCCTGCTGCGCATGGCCCCAACATTGCCCGAGATGACTTCCAAGGCGGCCAAGTCTGCATCCAAAGCGGCCAAGATGGCCCCAAAGGAGCCCAATATGGGCCCAAGATGTATCCCAAGCGGCCAAAGATGCACCCAAGACGGCGTAAGATGGACTCAAGATGTCCCAAGACAGCCCCAGAGGCCCCGAAGAGGCCTCCAAGACAGCCCCTGAGGTCTCCAAGAGGTTCTCCAGGAGGGCCCGAAGAACCCAAATCAGTAATTTTCTTTAGGTTTGAAGGATTGTGTGGCATGTGCTTCTTTTCAGCCCTCCGACGGCCCATAACGGCCTAAAAGGTCCCTCAGATCGCGCCACGATCGCCCAAAAGGCCTCCCAGATGGCCTCATGACAGCCCAAAGACCCCCAGGACGGTCCCAAGAGGGTCCCAAGACGGCCCAAGAGGCCTCCAGGACGCCCAAGGTAGCCTCCAAGACGGCCCTGAAGCACCCAAAGAGGGCCCCAAATCGATTAAGAGAGGCCCCCGAGACAGCTTCCAACAGCGTCAGACGGGCCAAGGACGCCCTAAGAGGGCCGAAGAGGCCGCCAAAGGCCATCAAGAGGCCCAAGGAGGCCCCCAAGAGGCCTCCAAGGCCAGGAGGCCCCCAAGAGCTCAAAGGAGGCCGCAAGAGTGACCCGAGGAAGCCGCAAGAGTGATCCAAGAGGCTCCCTAAAGGTCTTATCCTCCTCCTCCCCCTCCCTCTCCTGATACTCTCCCTCATCCTCCCTCAAATGTACCCCAACAAATTTTCAGACTGGCTGGGGGAAAACAAAGTCTGATAATATGTCCAAGCTGGGGCCAGCACGTTCGGCCAAACCGGGGCGCTTCCAAAAGACAGGGGGTGGCGGTGATTCGCTGTATGCGTCTTCGATGTATTCTCAACGTCCTCCTTCCCCAAACCACTCCCGAATTACACGCGGAACCATATGCTAAAGTTACTGCCACAACATCTGCAGCACACCAGCACATGCAATACAGCAGTGAAGAACTGAAGAGAAGTACCAAGCGTTTCGCGTCATGGCCATTGGCGCCCTGGCACCGCACCCTCCTTAAACCTTATGAAACCCCTCCCCACTCACACGCGGAACCGATGATCAAGCTGGAACCAGCCAACCGCGAAGCTAAGCTGAAGGGGCCGACCTTTGATCTTGAAACGCCTGATATTCAATGTAAGGCATGTGCGTATTGGCTGCCTGACATCCCGCCGTGCGCTACACGGCTAGCAAGTTTGTGGTGGGATTAATGTCTTGATGTGCTGACGTCTTGAGTCTTGACGCCTTGATGTTGCCATGCCTCAGTGCATCAAAGGGGCTCCAGGCATCCTGCGCCTACCCCCCAATGCCCTTTGGGGGGAGCAGACCCATCCCATGTTTTTTGGGGGGGGCGGTGCGTGGGAACCCTGGACCCTGGGTCACATACGGGACTCAGGAGGTCCCCCAGGACCCCTGGACGGAGGCCCAAGACTGGGAGCGCACGAGGACTGCCATGAGCGCGCCAGCCCTGGCAGAAGATGCCTTCTTCCGCTGCAGCCGTCGCGGTCGTGCTACTTCTGCGCCGATCTGGCGGCGTCTGCGGCAAGTCCCAGCGGCCCCAGGCACCCCCCCTGGCGGCCCACGCCAGCTTGAGTGGCGGTCGGCACACGCAAGCCGGTGCGACGGGCGGCTCGCGACGGCCAGCACGCGGCGCTGCCACGACAGCTGTGCTGGGGGCCATGAGCGGGCCCTCCTGCCTCTTATTCTCCTCGTCTCACTTGCCCTCACCATCGCGCTCAGCGCACGCAGCTTGTCTTCCGTAACCTTGCTGCGGGCCCGTGCGCGCCGAGGGGTGCTCGGGCGCCTGCTTGGCCGGATGATGCTGTCGGCAGAGGTTGGCCAGGCCTCTAATTCCCGACGACTGGCTTCTCTGGACGGGGCTCCACGGCTACTTCCCCCTGTGGAGGGTGGGACGCTCGGCAACAAAAAAATACGCGCCGCTGCAACCCGCCCTCCGACCGTCCACGTAGCCGTCCTCCAGGGTGGTGCCCCAGCCGGTAAGCCGCATCAGCTCCCCGATGCAGCCCTCGCAATACACCTCCCTCGCCCTAGCGTCCTCCAGATCTTCTGGGCGCCGTGAGAGTGCCACGGCGGACGAGCTTCTCCCGATGCGCATGGGCCAAGACGTCGGAGGTGTGGGCAGGTTCAGTCGACATCGGGTCAGGAAATCGTATCGGATCGGATCGTAGCGTACATCGAATCGAAGTGCATCGGCGCCGAATCGCGGTCTAATTTGATCGGCCGCGTCAGGATGCACGACAGCACCAAGCAAGCATCGAGCCCCATGAGATCGACGAGACACCCGAGTCGAATCGGATCGGCCGAAATCAGCATCGAATCGGACCCATCCAAACCCTACCCCCACCAACCATCGAATCTGCCGACTCGATGGAAGCGGGGGTGGGTTCGGATTTCGCAGCGTGTTCGACGAATTCCGAACCCAACCCCTGCGGCCAATCAAATTGCCTGAGTCGTTGATCGGCGAGAGTAGGGTTCGGATTTCGCCGCCGATGGATGGCTCTGCTCTGCTGGTACAGGCCGCGTTCGCAGCTCGCAAAGCTCTGAGCCAGTACTCCGCGCGTGCGTGCTCGAGCTCCCGGTCGCCAGCAGAGCAGAGACGGCCCCAGAGACCACCAAGACGGCCCTCAAGACGGCCCACAAGAGGGCCCTGAGAGAACTACGAAATAGCCCAACAGCCCCCCTAGGAGGGCCCCGAGATGCCCCGACAGTGAAGAAAAAAACGCCCCCTCTCCATCCCTCCCTCTCTCCATCTCTCTGCTGGATCCTCCTTCTTTTACTCCTCACATTCCTCCTGATCCCCGTCCTCCTCCTCGTCTTCATGTTCCACCCCTCCGTCCTCGCCATGCCTCCATCCTTCTATCCGTCAATCTCTCTATACCTCTGTCCTTCACTTCTTCCAGAACTCCAGGCCTCCATCTCTGAATCCACCCATTCGCCGATGCCTCCATCCCGCCATCTCTCTCTCTATCTATATATATATATATATATAGCCATGCATCCTTCCACCCCTCCATACCTCCACCCCATACATCCCTCCATTCCTGTATCGCTCCTCTCCGATTCCTGCTCCCAGCCCCGTCTCCGCCTCCTCGTCCATCTGCTCCTCCTCGTCCTCCCCCTCTGATTACTGGTCATCCTCCTTCGGCTTCTCATTAAGCGCCTGCGAATGACAATTGCATGCGCAATCTTGCAACGGAATCGGATAATCCTGTTTACGCCCTGAATGTGTCTATGCCATGAACCAAAAACTGCTGACACGATGCATCTCACGATGAGACCGAATATCAAAGCTACCGTGTACCGTTGCACCGATCTGTCAGCTCACATGCCCAACGATGCTCAACGTATGACATGATGGCAACGATGCTCGCGTAACCTAAAGTTGTGGGCATGCCTGCACTTTGGCGTTCAGCATCGAGACCCTCGCTAGAGACACTCAGACATTCCATGCGCACAAGATGTCCGAAAACTCTGAACACGTTTATGTGCAAAACAAACATTTGCCCTGTGTCCGTTCACGATCGTCCTCTGCCAACTCTCGACGAACCTCATCGCGGTCGATAGAGGTGATCTTCTTGAACTTTTTGCGCCCAGTGTTCTGGGATACCTCCCGACGTGTCTGGGAAACGAACATCTAACAAATGGGGCTTGTGGGCAATCGCACACATGGAAACACACAACAACGAACCTACCCTCACTCCGTACTCCTTCGCAAATGGCTACTCCTCGTGCTCCTACTCCTCCTCACAATCCTCCTGCTCTAAGCAAGACAACGTATTCCGGCCACCACAATCGATTGCGTAGAGTACAGCTCCCCAAAAGCGATGACAGTCAGCCGAGGCGGCAGAGGCGGATCAGCAGGAAAAGGAGTGCGGGAGAGAGATGGTGCGAAGTGCAGCAAAAAGAAGAGTGCAGGTGGCGGATAGGGGGAGGAATGAGGAAGATGAGAGCGAGAAGACGGCGGAACACTAGTACCTGCTCTGCATCTGCTGCTGCTGCTGCTGCTGCTGCTGCTGGTCGTCCTATTTCCCCTCCTCATGAGCCACCTAGGTGACCTCGACCTTCCCAGCCCCGCTCCACGGTTCCAGTGGCAGGCCCGACTGGCGAACGGGAAGTCAATGACCCAAGGAACAACAACCATAACAACAACGTTAACGAATGCGGTGGAACATCCCTCTTTGCGCTTCTACCGCGCGATGCCACCGCAATGCAAGCCGACAACTCATAGGCGCGAGTATGCGACACGCGCCGAAAGACTCTCAAACCGCCGCATTCGGACCCGAAGCGCTGCAAATCGTGTCGGTTATGACATATTCGCGAACGTGGACCGCAAAAGGTGCATTCTAGGATACTAGGTGATGCAATCTGTGTGGTGCAAGCTATGTGGTGAAACCGATGTGGACCTATCTACATAATGCAGCGTATGTGGTGTGAATCATAAAAATGCAACGTACGCGCTGCAAGCTATGTGGTGTGATCCGTGTGGAGTCACCAACGCAATGCAATCTAACGAAATGCAATTTACCCTGCCGAACTTGAAATTATCAACTCCACTGCTCGCGCAAGCATCCCACCCACCCACCCGCAACCTGGCTTGCGAAAGCCATGCGGCGGCGATTGCCATGACTGTTCGGCCCTCGCTGGCGCATCGCCGCGGCCGCGCTAGCACGCATGTTCGCGCGCAAAGCGGCCAGCTCGTTCGGCGCGACCGGCGCGGCCGCTGTTGCGCTGACCGTTGGGCCCTTCCCAGCGGGCAATTCAGTGCGAGTCGGTGACTCGGGCCTGCGCGGTATCATGGCAATGTGGACAACGGTAGACGCGATGATGATCGCAGCGACACTTGCGACGATGATGACAACGGCGACGGCACTGCCAGTGACGGCGCCGATGCTGATCACGCCGACGGCGATGACGACGTCCTCGCGTCGGTGATGAGGGTTTTGGAAAGAGTTCGACATGCGCGCGCGGCCGATTCGCGAGGGCGGGCCGCATGGTATTATTTGACACGGATCGCGCCCTCCTCCCAGCACGCGCGCAAGGGCGTTCGAATAATTTCGACATGCGGCGCCAGGGGCCGCCTGGCTGGCCGAATTTAATGGAAATGTGGATATATCTATACATATATAAATTCATAAACGATGGTAGTTGCAAGAATTCGCAAGACCGCGAGCGCAATTTTCTTCTATACTTAAACTTTGTACCTACATATGTGGCTATATAGAAAACTGTTGTTGCACAACCATGTATGTTCATATGTGTTCGGAACACTTGATTTTGCAATCCCCATGAAACCGTGCTGCTTTGTTCCCGCATGCGCGCGCGACAACGCGCACTCGTGCACTTCGCCCCGTGGTTTGCAAAGGCTTCTTGCGACGGCACGCGCGCGCGGGCGTTCTTCCGATTCCGACGTGCGCGCGCGAGAGGCCCGTGTGATAGCATGTTGTGAAGATGTGGGGATACCGTGGTTTATTTTATACATATATATACATATATGTATATATATGTAAGTATATATATATATATATCAGCAAAAATCTTAGCGCAACCTAAGGTTTTTGAAAGCGGCATGCGCGCGCCACGACGCGCATGCGTGCATTTTGTCTAGTTTGTGTTCCAACATTTCCTTGGCAACGAATAGTTTTTGATAGGCAAATATGCGCGCAATATCCTTGCAAAGAATGACGGGGGATTCCCAGTTTGGCTGGGGTGATCTGAATTCAGATTTAAGGCGCACGGTGGGGCAAACACATTTATGAATTGCACTTCGAAAAGGGGGTCCTAACATGTCCGGGCGGCGCGGGGGGCAGGTCATATTGCTGCGCAAGACAGAAGAAGATGCGCGGTGCAAACTACGTGGCGAAATACACGTTGACTCAACCATGTGGAAAAAAACGGATGCAATATGTGGAACTATATATACGGTGCGCGCCCCGTGGAGCAAGTGAGTCGGTGAAAGCTGCGCGGCGCAACCTACGTAGTGCATTCCACCAAGGCTGACCTTGAAATTGCCCACTCCACTGCTCGCGCAAACATCCCACCCGCCCACCAGCAACTTGGCTTGCAAACGCCATGCGGCGGCGATTGCGATGAGTGTTGGACGCTGGAAGGTGCATCTATCGGCGGCGACAGCCCGCGCATGCACGCGCGCGCGGCGGCCAACTAACTTGGCGAGACCGACGCAGCCGCGATGGCGCTGACCGTTGGGCACGCCCCAGCGGGCACTCCAATGCGAGTCGGCGACTTGGGGGGGGCGCGGTATCATGGCAACGTCGGCAACGGAAGACACGGCGACGACAGTGGCGATGCTGGCGACGCTGCTGGCCACGACGAAGGTACGGCCAGTGACGGCGCGGATGCTGATCGCGTCGACGGCGATGACGGCGCCCTCGCGTCGGTGATGAAGGTCTTGGAAAGAGTTCGACATGCGCGCGCGGCCGACGCGCGAGTGGCCCGCATGCTGCTATTTGACACGGATCGCGCCCCCCCCCCCCCAACAAAAGAGAACGCACGGGCGCGAGCGCACGCTTTTTTGAAAACTGATGGTGCGAAACCATGTGTGTTGTATTGTTGTTGGGCACTCGGATACCACGAAAATTGATATGCGCGCGCGACGACGCGCGCGCACGTCGTCACATCTGCTGTACAGAATTCTCGCGGCGCGCGCGGGCGTTCAAACCATTGCGACATGCGCTCGCGAATCGAATCCCGTTTGGTAGCACTTCCTGAAAAACCATGAATAACCGATGGCTTCCTTAAGAATTCGCAGGGGCGCGCGCGCAAATTTGTTTTGAAACTTCGCGTTGCCAACCCCTGCGTTCTAATATTATTCTGGGGCACCAGATTTTGAACTACGTATGCAATATGACGTTTTTGAAAGATTTCTGTATGCGCGAGCGACGACGCGCGCGCGTGCTCTTCGTGTGTTTGTGTGTGTGTGTGTGTTTGCTTGTGCAAGGGACTCTTAGAAACTGATGATATGTGATAAACGACTGCGCGCGCTTAGTTCTGTTGCTCAGGATGGCGCGGGGGTCGATACCGGCCTGGCTGGGATGGTATGGCTTCATATTTGGGATGGGCGATCGGGCAGAATCGCCTGTGCATTGCGATGCGAAAAGGGGGCGATAATCCCGTGGGGCGTAGAATGTCTTTGTTTAAAGAAGGGGGGATCTATCTGGTGGTGAATCTACGTGGTGCGGAATGTGTTGCGTGACGCGTTATCATGCGCAAGCTGTTCTGCATCGCGCACCGACGCAACACAAAGCACAGCAAAACCACGCGAAGCAACGCGAAGCTTTGCAAGGCAGTGCGAAGCGATGACATCAGCAAAACCACGCGAAGCAACGCGAAGCTTTGCAAGGCAATGCGAAGCAATGACAACACATGCAAGGCAGTGCGCACTTCATTAAAAACAGCGCAGAACAATGCCAACCAATTCAACGCAATGCGTAGTAACGCAAAACCATGACGAAGCGGCGACGGGGCGGCGACGGCGGCGACATTGTCGCTGGGTCAATACGCAAGCCCAGACAATTGGCGGCGACGAAGCGGCGACGGGGCGGCGACGGCGGCGACATGGCCGCTGAACCAATGCGCAGGCCTGCGCGAATGGCGGCGACGAAGCGGCGACGGTGGCGACAAAGCCGCCAGACCAACGCGCAGGCACAGCTCCTTTGAAAGCGTGAGACAACGTGGACACAAAGCACAATGTTTGTAGCAACGTACGGTTTGCAAGGTCCGCCTTCTGCAATACATGTTTTGTGCTGCCTACGCGGTGAAATTGACCCTGCCGAACATGAAAATGTCAGATCCACCGCTCGCGGAAACATCCCACCCACCCACCCGCAGTCTGGCTTGCATAACCATGCAGCGGTCATTGCGAGCATTGCTCGGCGTTGGCTGTCGCATCGCCGCGGCCGCACTATTGCGAGCAGGCTCGCGCGCAGAACGGCCAACTAGTCTGGCGCGACCGACGCGGCTGCGGTTGCGCTGACCGCCGGGAGCGTCGCAGCGCGTCTCGCAGGCCGCGCTGGCGCGAAGGCCCTTCAGTGCGAGTCGGTGACCCAGGCGGGCGCAATATCATGGCGACCACGGCAATGGCTAACACGATGCTAGCACCGATGCCGGCAACGACGATGACGATGGCAACGGCAACGCCAGTGACGGCGCCGATGCGGATACACGCCGATGACAATGGCGTCAACGCGTCAGTGATGATAGCTGTGAGTGGACTTCGACATGCGCAATGCGCACGCAGCCGACGGGCGCGAGTGGCCCGAATGGTGTTCTTTGATCAGGACCGCCCCCCCCCCAACACGCGCGCGAAGTCGTTCCCGTGATTTTGACACGCGCGCGTGAGGCCCGTTGGGTCTCATGACAATGTTTAAATATATGGCTTTCTTAAGAACTCGCAAGGGCGCTCGAAAAATTGTGTGCATGAATATGTTGCGAGACACTTTTGTTGTTTGTCTCCATATCCTAAGATGGGGTGCTTGTTCCCCATATCCTAAGATGGGGTTATTGTTATTATTCGGACGCCGCCGACTCCAGATAACCAAAGAGAACACACCTACTCATACACAGACTTACTCATACTCAGACCTACAAATA